CCCCCCCCCGACCCCCGCCCCGCCCCCGCCCCGGCCCCCCCCGCCCCCCCCCCCCCCCCCCCCCCCCTGCACATAATATGTGACAAATATTTTAGACAGATATGTTTATCAACAACAGTTTCAATTTGATTATACAATAGAGTCAAATTTGGATTTCCAAAAAAAAATCGAGAGAAAAAAAAGAACAGCAATTTTGAGATGTATGAGAAAATATATCGATTAAAAATTCAAAAAAATAAATTTTACACATCTCTTCATTATCTTGTCCCAAAAGTCAAATTGACGATATATATATATGATTCATTGTCTACCATTCTTATTATTGATTTTCTCATTTTATCAAATTGTTAAACAGAGTAAAGTTTATTTTTGACTCAAGAAAAAATTCGAGGATACAGATCGATTTGCAAAAAAATTGATTATTATCAATAAGTTATAATTTATTTTGCATGTTTTTTTTTCAGTAATGAATAGGAGAATATATAGTTGAATAATCAGCATTGTTATTCATGAGTAAAGACAGCTCACGAATTTGTTAATTATAAGTAATGTGGAACCGGAACTCTGTTATATATGACCTGTTACAATCATAACAGACTATTATTAACAGTATGAAGAAAAAAAAAAAAAAGAAATTTATTGAGTCTTCATTTTCTCTTCTATGGTTTAGAGACAATATGTAATTGAATATATTGAGATGTCAATCGTAACATTGTTTCGTGTTTATGTATATAGAGAGTTGAGATAAAATAATAATAATTTTATTACTCTTAGTTCCCTTCTCGAGAAAATTACATATAATAAATAATAAGTTGCGGAAAAAAAAAGAGAAGAAAATTATAGCTTCAATATATCGATATCTATGCTCGGAGGAATTACGCTACATATATATACACAGATTTAGTTTGAATTTTAAGAATATGTCCTTAAGGCACAATGAATTCTAATTATAACGATGACAAGCACTTTTTCATTCATTTATCAATGGTTTCCATATTTTTTAATATACAACAATGAATTATTTTTATGAATTACAACCGGTTTTACCATAGTTATTGCATTAAATTGTTTTTTTTTCAGATCTTCACCAAATAATTTTCATCATCTTGATGAAAAATTATCTAATTTATAAAAAATATTTGTTCTTTCTCTAAAAAAAAAAAAAATGAGGATAAATTCATTATTTATTTAAAACATTTAATGAAAATGAGAGTCAAAAAATTATATAAATGTAAAATAAATAATTTTGTTATATTAAATATCGTTTTTCTAGAATAAATGAATCCTATATAATACTTCAAATCAATAAATTTATGATTGGAGTATTTGATCAATTTATTTTAGTTTATCAATTAAAAATTAAATATTAAATGTTTTTAGTATAATTATGCCGTTGGCAGCTCTAACGCCTGTTCTAAATGATCTGTTGCTCAAATCTCAACAAGATGGTCAAGGCGACTATTCATCTATGGGTAAATGTTCTTCTTCTTACTTTTTTTTTGCATATTATCATCCTTTTTATTTCTTTTTAGTACGAGCATCAGGTGCTGAAGAATATCGACCAAGACAAGCGTCAATTGAAGGCGGATTACCATCAGTGAGTAATAATAACATTAAACTTCTTTTTTTTTCTCTATTGATTCTATTATTTATACTCTCCGATAATGTCATTACAGAGAGAGAGAAAGAGAGAGAAAGAGAGTGAAAAAAAATTTTCATAAACAAATCATAAGTATCTATATATCAGAAAAGAAATTTTAACTATTAAACAGCATATATATATATACATATATACACGAACATGCAATATACTTAAAATATTAGACTGCTTTCTCTCTATATGGAAAGAAATAGAAGAACACTTTAGTACATTTTCTTCGTCTCTTTCGACCTCTTGTCGTTCTTTAAGTTTCTAATTGACAATAATTGTTTCCACAAATCATCAACAAACAAACAGAACTATATTTCGGATAGATGAGTTAATATTTCTTTGAAAAAAAAAAATGACTAGTGTACAACAAAAACAACAGCATATAGCAAATGCCAATGCGTTAACTGCTTATTTTAAACCATTTATTGGTAAGTTTCATAATATTTTTATTGTTTTCTTTTTCCAGTCTCCTCTTCAATTAACCGAATATGAAGAATTAGATCAAAAATCGAGAGTTGAAAGACAAGATTCGTTTTTAAAACGATTTTCCACACGATATGGTTATAGAGGAATGGGCAATAGGGGTAGGATTTGTATAGAATATGAAGAAATCCATTAAACTATTTAATAAGTATATTATTATTTAATAGTAATTAATTTTCTTTATATAGAGCCAGCTAAACGTAATCTACGTAATACTATTGATAAAGAAGTGCCGATTAAATGTCGTTATTTACCTGTTCGTCGTTTATTACATGCATGTAATTATTTTGTGATATCAACAGATGAAAATTTTTTATTCTATTGGCTTATATTTTTAAATCTCTTTATTTTATATAATTTATGGTTTCCTATTGCAAGACAAGCATTTGAACCATTACAACGTGAATATACGAGAACATGGCGAACACTTGACTATATAGCTGATATTGTTTACGTTTTGGATATTGGAATGCAATTAAGAACAGGATATTTAGAACAGGGTCTATTAGTATATGATAGACAAAAATTAGCATTAAATTATATACGTTCCTATCGTTTTATATTTGATTTAGTATCGTTAATGCCTCTTGAATTATTTCAATTGAAATTTGGTGCACTTCCTCTATTACGTTTTCCACGATTTTTTAAAGTTTATCGTACATTTGAATTATATTATTTACAAGAATCACGAACCGTTTATCCAAATACTTATCGTGTTGTTAATCTATTTCATATACTTTTATTACTTGCTCATTGGTTAGCCAGTTTCTATTTTATGGTATCGAAAGCAGAAGATTTTACTGGTTATTGGTCATATCCATCTCCTAATGGAAATTTTTCACAATTGACTAAAATGTACTTTAGATGTTTATATTGGTCAACGTTAACATTGACAACAATTGGCGATCTACCACCACCCGAAACCAATTGGCAGTAAGTAAAATTAAGAGAATTTAGTAATTATTTTTATTCACACACACATCCATGGATTTTGGATGTAGAAATATTATAAGACACGATATCACCTTTCGTTTCTTTCTTTTTTTCTTTTTTTCTTTTCTTCTTGTTGTTCCAAGTTGGCTAAAACAATTCACAAATAAACGGTATGTTCAATTGTTGTATTTCTAAATCAAAAATGTTGTTATATTGTTGTTGAAGAAATATGTATCACTCATTTTCGGCTACTAACCATGATTTGAACAGCTAAAAAAAGGATAACTCTTCACATATATTTTGAAGCTTAGTTTCAGTGATTAATACCCTTCCAATGTTCCTCGATGTACATCTATTTGCAGAAGAGAGAATAATAAAAATCAACATCTGCCAAATGTCGACAGTTTTGAGTACAAACTTTCATTCTCTTGTGGATGGATTTCTTTGCGAAACGCCTATGTAATAAAACATGATCTAATAAATTTAGGGGCGTACTTTAGTGTTAAAAGCGGAAAGAAACGTTAATTATTAAAAGTTTTAGCTAATGAAAAAACGTTTTTTATCTGTGCTAGCTAGCTTTCAGAATTTTTCAAAATTTCAAGTTTCTAACTACATCAATTTTATTCATAATTCTCATGCCGTCATCTTTTTAAAAACATCCTTTTTGTTCAGAAAAAAAACAAAAATTTTAAACAGCAGAAAAGTGTTGTTCTCTCTTACCAGTTATGCTTTCGAATATAGCCCATAGAACACAACAGTCACATTCATATGAGACCTGTGCACTAAATTAGAGTCACTACTGGTGTTAGTCATCATTGCTTCATTTGTGTGTATGTGTATTAGTAGTGGTATCTGACTGTTAGAATATCAATTGAAACATTAAATATACTGAATATCATTCTCTCTCTCTCTTTTTAGCTATATATTCTTAATAAGTGTTCATCTGTTTGCTGTATTTGTCATTGCTATCATTGTTGGTAAGTTCGGTTTCAGAAACACAAATGTAAGTTCATTGTAAATGAATTACTAAGCTCTTATAAATCAATGATTAGTTATACTAATGGGCAGTCTTTATGCTCGAAAATTGTAAGGTAATATTACTAAAATTAATAGAAGAGAGTCACGTTCTTATAACTATATTAAGGATGTTTTGTTAGATAAGGATCATAGTCCACAGCTGTACAGACGATGTAAATATCGCTCCACATTTCTAGGGCTGTTTTCGCCATAACGAGCTATATGACTGGTCTTTTTGTGTTTGCATCAATCGTAGGTAATCTATTTCAGTATACATATTTAAACTAATATTAATTTTTTTCTATTTATTTTAGGCCAAGTCGGTAATGTGATAACGAATAGAAATGCTAGTCGATTGGAATTTGAACGATTATTAGTAAGTGTACTATGTTGGATTATTGTATGATATTTTAAAATTTAATTTAATTTAGGATGGAGCCAAACAATATATGAGAACTCATAATGTACCAACAGAGATGCAACGACGTGTTCAACGATGGTACGATTATTCTTGGTCAAGGTATTCGAATGTATAAAGTTCTTACTTTTATTCTCTTCTAACAGTATTTTCTAATTTTAGAGGTCGAATGAGTGGTGCAAGCGATGTTCATTCAATTAAGTTATTACCCGATAAATTAAAAACAGAATTAGCATTACACGTTAATTTGGGAACATTAAAAAAAGTGACCATCTTTCAAGAATGTCAACCAGAATTTTTACATGATTTAGTATTAAAAATGCGTAAGTTTGTTTAATTATTAATGTATACTTAATAAAATTTTTTAATTAAAATATTTTAGGTGCATATATTTTTACTCCGGGTGATGTTATTTGTCGAAAAGGTGAAGTAGCACGTGAAATGTTCATTATTGCTGATGGTGTACTAGAAGTACTAAAGTAAGATTCATTTTTAGTGTCATATATCAAAAAATGAAAAATTGTCTTTGCTCTTTTTTTTCTAGTGAAAGTAATGAGGTCTTATCAAGATTGGGTTCAGGTGATTTCTTTGGTGAAATTGGTATACTAAATATTGATGGTGCAAACAGGTAATTTTTCAATAACATTATTAATACTATTCTATGATAAGTTGTTGTTGTTTTTTCAGACGAACAGCTGATGTTCGTAGTGTAGGATATTCAGAACTCTTTTCATTATCAAAAGAAGATGTTTTAGAAGCAATGAGAGATTATCCAGAAGCAGAAGTAAAATGACAACTAATTGATATAAATATTTATACTCCCATCTATTTTATATTCTAGAAAAAATTATATGAATATGCTCAAAATCGATTAGGCTTTGAACGTGCAAGACGTGAAGCTGGTCAAAAAATGAAAAGTGCTTTTAATACTCTGGCAGCAATAGCCAGTGCCATCACTCAAGAACGACCAGCCAATTCGTTAACATCCATTGCTGAAAAGAGGTATACATTACTGAATTTTAAAAATAATTAAATATATTATTCTCTATTTAAACTCATTAGTTCACCTCTATCAGATGAACAAATAATAAATCCATGTAATGATGAAAAACCTATTATTGAAAAAGAACCATCTCTTAAACAATTAAGGTATAAATCTGTCTTTATTATTTACTATTTAAGTATATGAGAATATTTGTTTTTTTTTATTTTTATTAGTACCAGATGTTCTGTACATGCAAATAATGAACAACAACAACATCATTTAATTTTTAATTATGATTATCAAAATAGTAGAATTTATTCTGAAAATAATACTAAATCAAATGATCTTTTAACAACAATTGAAATACTTATTAATGACAAACTCGTATGTCAAACTAATTTCTAAAATTAGATTTATTCCATTTTCTAAAAAAAGTAAATATTCTTTTCTTATCATTTTTTTTCTTTGTGTTCTTCTTCTATAGCATACTGTTGAACAAGAATATCATCAACAAATAGCCGTATTACAAGATCAAAATGAACGAAAAGATTTGAGAATAAAACTTCTTGAACAAAAATTACAACGTATGCAGGTATATATTTTAATATAAACTAAAACAAAAATTTTTAAATATTATTTTCTCATAATATTCTAGAAAACATTATTAAATCGTAATAGAATTTGGTTAGAAGAACAATGAATGATTCATCATCAATGATTCATAAAAATTTTTGTCAAATTTTTTTAATAGAAAAAAAATTTTCATTTAATTTAATGATATATGACGATAGTTTTAATTTTGTTTTTCTAAAACAAAAAAATTGTTATTTTTTTTTTGTTTTTCTATTCTGTTGTTCTTTTTATTTCTATTTTTAATTTATAAAAAACCAAAAACAAGCCATATTTTAATCTATCAAATATTAAAAATGAAACAAACACAAGCGGTGGTACTCATTCAATAAGATACTGTGTATCGTAAAAAAAATGAAGAAATTTTTAACAATTGTCAAACACAGTAATCCACAATATATGATGACAATATTTTTTATATCTTTTTCATCAATTAGGGAAACTATATGATGTGAATCGAATAAATTTATACAATAAAAATTTATCACATTAAAAAATAAATCATCGTTACTAAAAATGACAGTCGATTTGTTATAATTGCCATTATAATTCTGCTGTATGTGTTCGTAATAATGTTTGTGAAACACAAACTTTATGTTTACCACGTGATGTTTTTCGAATTAAAATTCGAACAGGACTTACTTCATGATCATTTAATTTCTAAAATAAAGATATATAATAAAAGTATAAATAGTATTTTAGAGATTATTTTTTAACAAATAATTTCTTACTCGTTCTTCATTGACAACCGGTTTAACATGAACATTTAAATAATCTTTTTGATCTAACGTCACGGATGATGTTGCGTGAGATGATGAATTTTGATTTTTATCTTTATAAATGAATGTGTCGTCTTCATCTTCTTCTCGTAAAACATTATAAATTAAATCACAAGATTTTAAACCATACAAAATGACTTTGCATAATGTCAATGAATTCTTTAATAAGACAAAAAATAAAGAAAAGATGACATAAATTTTAACGTTTTTTGAAGGGGAAAAAGTTTAAAATTCGCATAAGTTAAGTTAACACTCTTACTTTATCTAGAGTAGTCATTGTGTAAATGTAAGTGTTCTTAATATTATGATGAATTGAACGGATGTTTCTTCTCTTTTTCTCCTATCGTTACATTATCAAACGTTAAAAATAGTTTTTTTCCAATTTTTTACTGTTTTTTTTTTTTTGTTTAAATAAAACGAGAACAGAGACAAAAAGTGGACTCAAGAAAATGCAACAGTTTACATTCTTAACATGTTTATTTTAAAATAAAACAAGTGTAGAGGCAGGCATCAACTGTTCAATAAGGAAGAGAATGTGGTTAAAATGAAATATATCATTCACGCATATGTTCACAATACTTGCCTGCATTTGTCTCTTGTTATCATCAATTCTGTTTTGAAGATTGCTATTGTAACATCGTACAAACCATGAAACAATTATTTCATCGTTCTCCTATATGAACAAAAACAAAACTTTATTATCATTTATTCATTGGCACTAATTTTTAGCTCAAGGATATTTTCGAACATCAATTCGAATTGATAACGTTCATAAATATTTACCTATGAAAGTATTCTGCTAGAAGCAATGGAAAAAACGAAATTTTTAGATGAACAAATGTTGTGAACACTTAAAAAATTTTCTGATAGGTTACATTAGCTAAATTACTCAGAAATCCAATTTCTTTTTTTCTTTTTCGGACAGTACAATTTGATGATGATGATGATAATGACGTGATTTGACCTTATCAATTCTATCTTTTCGGTACTATTCATCTTGTTCATCAAACAAAATTTATTCATGCGAATAATTCAATTCAAATATTTTCTTACTGTTATTGTTGGTAATAGTGTTTGACTTTTTCTGTTTAATTTTCGATTATCCATATTATTCATTGTAATGTTGGCGGTTGATTGAAAAATAACTTTAAAATAAAACTATTATACGATGATTTTCAGATTTTTGTATTGATATGTTACAAATTCATTTGACAATGAGCAAACGACAATGATATATATATCGTCTAACTGGTGTATATATATATATATATGTATCTTTAACTTTTCATGTATCACATATATTAACCCATATCAACACATATAGACATTATAAATCTGTATTATTAGCCGTTGTGCGTGTGTGTATGTGGGTGTGTGTTTGTATGTTTTTTGACCAGAAAATGGTTTCAACTACTTTCACTTCTTTTAACCGAGATAAGAATAAAATGTATAAAATTTCTTTTAAATTCAAAAATATTATCGTCTTGATGATACAGAGAAAAGAAATGAGTGTGAATGAGAAAGAACAAAATTTTATCAAATAAGGAAAAATGTGTGCATCTTCTTCATCGTATTCATATATATATATATATATATATTTTAAACTTTTAATACTCTCAACAAGAGATTTGTTTAACAAAAAGAAAAAAAAATGAAAAAAGAGAAAGAAAGAATCACCATCACCATTATTTGATATTTGTACACAGTGTATATGCGTAACTCTTTGTCATTTGATATCGCTACTAACATTAGTTAAGACGAATGAATACAATAGATTGGTTCTTGTGATATCAAACATATCATCATGAGCAATTAAAAATATGCTTATGAATCACATAAACAGAAAAGTGTTTAGATTATTAGATGCTTTAATTAGTAAACGTATCTTCTTTTTAGGAAAGTATATCATTAGTAATCTCAATACTCTAGTAGTTCTTATGGAATTTGTAATTATCTATTTTAGTTTTGAAAACGTATCAACATTTTAAAATTCAACTCTTGTAATCGAATATAATACAAGTATCTATAACAAGATAACATGAAGCACGTAGTACATTACACGATCCCTTGACTTTGTTCTTGATCTGACCGTAGAGTAATGAACTACACATCTATCACAAGAGAACACCTGAATGTCACGAGAATCAGATAGATCAAAGTAGATGGATAAGTTTGAGCCAAAAGAAGATCAGAACAGGCTTAGTTTTTAAAAATACTTTGCAAAATAGTAAATAGTAGATTTGTAATCGAATATAATAGAAGTATCTATAATAAATCCGTTTCGTTGAGTATAGTATCATCATTTGTTCAGACTCAATTAAAAGAATACCAGTTTATGTTTAACGACATGAGCATTGATTTGAGCATAAATTTTAGAGTACTAGAATAGAATATCTTCTGTTTGTATTTCAAAGACTAAAACATAGATCAACACACCTTTTACGGAAAAGATTACAAAATAGTTTTGTGCTTGTCTTATCAATAAAAAGATATGTCTGTATAAACTATACAATTCTATAGCATGAATAAGATAAAAAAGAAAAAACATATTGGTAAATAGTCAGTCAACCATCATAATAAGATTAAAAACGAAAATCTTGAATTTTTCTTTGAATTGTGTTCATATACAAAAACATTACATGAAATCATAACATAAAAAGTGAACTGTCAACAAATATCTCGTGTAATACTTATAGCACGAGATAATCTAACACGAGACAAAAGAGACTCATTTTTATCGTTGATGAGTTAGTAATTTGATTTTTTATACAAAAACTCATTTTTGAGATAAGCACATGAATATCTAGTCTGAACTGTGTACTATCAGAATCGATATCATTTTTTATCCTACAATTGTGCTTTGACGGTAGTTTTTTTTTTGAAAGAGTTTTTCAGAACAGGAGCTTGAAAAGCAAATGAATGAAAAGATGTTGAACATCAATCAATCCTGTATTCAAATGTGTCAGTTTTTAGAGCAAACTTTTCTTTTAAAATAAGATGTGTCATTCAGCATTAGAAAGATATATACATTCTCCTACAAGCCTTGACGTTTATCAAAGAATGCAAAAGCACAGCATGTGATCTTCTTTTGCTACTGCTGGTCAATAAGGAACATTTTTCTCGCGAACGATTGAAGGTACGCATAACAATTTTTTTGTATACGACAAAAAAGTACAAATTGATCGACCGGACTTACGAGATTTGCTATTATTCTAGAAAAACACTGGATCCGATCAGTGATCTACGTAGAATTTAAAATGTCTGTTCAGTAGTCATGTGTCAGAAATCATCAGAGCTTGCTCCATTTATAACTCTTATCGATTATTAGAATGATCTATTCCAAGTATTTGCTCTGATACCTAAAACTTTTGTTTCATTAAGTTATATGGTGTTGTGTGTGTGTAGCGAAAACATTGAAGGAGGATCTTCTTCGTCAACAGTACAATACGTTGAGTAGATAGATGCAGTAGCAGATTTAGGAAGAGCATGGTGATTCTTCCTAGTTCAAGGAATATAAAAAGAAAACGCGCGGTACACCATACAGTTTACGAGGGAAGTAAGCCAGAAGACGAAAAAATGAAATTTCATAACATTTGACTAACGAGGGAAGTACCCCAACTGATAAATCGCTTTTTCAACGAAACCGAGTGGACTATAGGTAGTCGACGATGCTGATTCCGAATATCACCATGAATGCTGCTGCTAGGCCTTCAAAGACCGGG